CTCTCGCTCCTGTATCTATTATGATAGAAATGTTATGCCATTCTTTCCCATCATAATAATCTCCTTTTATTTTGAAATGCCTGGAAGGGATTTTTAAGGTGTCTAATACCACCTCATGTTTTATACTAGTTGTTCTAGTTAAGACCTCTTTATCTTTCTTAGGATAACGTATAACTCCTAAGTCTACAATATTTCTATGGCTTCATTCAGGTTCTATTTTGACAGATAGTTTTCCTAACTCATATGCCATTGGTCTAGGCATTTCTCTTTCTCCTATTAGGAGTGGTTTTTCACTAATGTTTATTTCCCGGTCTTTGGGAAATTCTATTTCAGCGATCATTTCTGGTTTTTGAATTTGTCCTATTCAAGAGAACATAGGATCTAATTCAATATATTCTTTATCTTTAAAAAGATTAGATTGATGACTATTAGTCAATGCATAACTTATCATATAGTATATTCTATATGGCATTGATCCATCTTTCATAAAATTTTCTCTAGCAAATTCATGTGCTAAACTTAAGGTTTTATTAATATTTCTATCATTAATGTTTACAGCATATTTTGGATGTACTGTAAACAGAAGTTTCTAGTAACTAAGGTTACCTTGCACTAATCCAAAGATAGCATCCTTTCTATCATTGATTTTATTATCTATTAAAGCTAATTTTATTGAGGTGTCTATTCCTTCTCTAAAATGAGCTTTAATAAGTATTTGTATTCCTCCAATGTGGATAAAACCTATTCTTGATCTACCAGCTTTTTTGATTTTTGATAGTTTGCTTTCTATTTCTGCCTTAATAATCAAAGGTATATTTATTATTCCTATTGTCTTATCGATAGGAATGCTATATTCTTTAGTGGATATTCTGTAATAAACTATATCTTTTCTCTTAAAAGGGTTACTTATAAAGGAATTTGGTTTGAATCCCTTTTCTAAAGCAAGGTCCATTCTCTTTTGTCTAATTCTTTTATATTTACTTTTATCAAATACAAGTTATTTGACTATATTCTCCATGTCCTTCACATTCTTTAGAATAAGCTTCTCTTTCTTCAATATTCTGATTCATCACTACTAGAGGTATATAAACTTTTCACTTCATATATACTTTCTTCGCTGCTTATAGAGCTAGCATCTATTTCACTTAGTTCTTCTTCATAAATTTTTAGGTTTTTAGTACTTTCGCTTTTGTATCTTTTAGGACATTCATTTGTATAATGCCCTTCTTCTTTACACAACTAGCATGTGCATTTTTTAGGATTTTTTTTATACTTTTTTGATGTTTTGGTTTTCTTAAAATACCTCTTTTTTTTTTCTAGAAAATTTGTTATTATTAAACCTTTGTTTATTACTTCTTTTCATACTTTTTTTTAGTTTGTTTTAGCTATAGGTTTCTAGGCACCATTCATTAATTTTGGTTTTAGCAAACCAAATCCTTAACCCTAAAGTATCTTTCTTATCTTCTATATATATTCTATAGGCTTCTGCCAATTTTATTCCCCAAGGATTAGGAATTTTTCCAAAAAACAATTCCATGAGGCCTTTAGTCATTCCATGATTTGAAGCTTTATAATAGTATTTTTGAAATAGACAAATGTATTGATCTAATTCATAGAGATTACATAATTCTAAATTTTGCAAATTCCACACTGCTATTCTTCCAATTTTGGCCTCCTCTTTTCCTTGATTTTCTTCCCAATTTTCTCTTAAGAATTCTCTCCTAATTGTTGATTCAAATCTATTTATTATGCCTTGAATTGCTTCGTTTTCATTAACTTATTCTGAAGCAGGATTTCCACTTATAATAACATTATTGTCTTCTTCATTTAGACTAGCAAACTAGTCGTGAACTATCCCTTTAAAGGTGACTTTAATAAATCTAACTGTTTGTAAGGCATTCCAATTTTTGTTTGCTACGGCTATCCAAGTAGCTTGGGCCCCAGTCACTAATAACCTTCTCTAGGTCGGTAACACAAACTAGATCTAGCGAAATACCATTAGTACTAATTATCTGTTCTTTGATTCTTACTAGCGTTTCAAGTTTAGATTGATTCCCAAATCTTTTACTCTTTTTATCATATATCACTTCATGTGTTAGATTTCTATTTTTTCTATAGCTTTGGCTTATGTTGAATTCTACTCTAGGTAGCACTGGAAATTCTATTGAGGTTATATTAGGATGTGTCTCATCCTTTTCTTCTTCACTTTCCTCTTCTATTTCCTCCTTTTGGGTATTCATTTTCACATTTTCTAATTGTTTAGTAGTTATAGTAATCTATCTACATAGATTATCTAGTTCTTCTACATTTTCTTCTTCTAAGAATTCTTGTTCAAGTTCTTTCAACTTTCCTTCTTGGGTTTTTAACATGAAAAGTGTTATCCCTTTTGATTTAGGCTTTTCCATGAAAAATTTTGGGATTATTTTAAATCCTTCATTTTCATCTACAATATTTCGCCTACTATAGACTGATATTATAGTATTTTATAGAACCTTGAGTTGTGTTTGGATCTTATAAAAAATTTTATCTATATCACTTTTTGGTTGTGGAATTATTCTGTTATATATTTTTAAGCTTTTATTGCAAATTTTTCAGCAATTGCTTTTAATATATTAAAACTTTCTTCTATTTTGATTTCTATCTCTCTGACTCAAGATATCAGAGTCTTTGAATCTTTAATAGATCTTATTTCTTCTTTTATTTCTTTCAAATTTCTAGAGTTTTTGACATTATTTATTCTTTCTTTAATAGAATCAAATTCTTGAGAAAGAGATTTTCCCATTTCTTTAATTCTTCTTAGAGTATTTTCATTAATTGTTTCTATTTTTAGAATATTATCTATGATAATTGTATCTTCCATATCTATTATACTTTTTCCTACCGTATTGAGTAAATACATGTTAATTTGATTCATTTGTCCATTGCTCATGCTAATAGAAGTGTATTAATAATGTTTTTTAATGTATTTATTTTTTCTCTTTTTGTTCTTATTTTGTAATTAAGAATTCTAACTCTCATTGTACTTTCAATACTTACTTCTAGAGCTTCTCTTTCTAAGTTCACTAGGTTTCTCTTTTCGAATTGAGCTAATTGCTCAATTTCATCACAAATTTTAACTAATCTATCTTTATAGAGTATTCCTTGATTTATTATATTTTATTGGGATTATAGTGTTACCTTTTTAAAACTTAGAGGACTATTTTATTTTAATTCTAAGTTAATTCTTCTATTAAAACTAACGAAAGTCTTGTACGGTAGACCATTCTGAAATATTTTTCAAAGTTTATAGACCACTTAAAAATAAATCATACTTTCTAGACTAAAATAAAATCAAGTTGATAGTTAATAGACTAATTTTTGAATTAAGCCATTATAATAATGTACAAAAACTCTAGTGGGGCTCAGGAGGAAAGTTTAGTGAACAATTTGAATCACGTGGGACAATTTACACCCTAGAAAGAAAAAGATACATTGGTCCATTTTGGCCGCCATGGATATACCTGTTGAGTTAGATCCGATCCATTTAGAAAGGAATATTAATGTTATTATTATACGGTAAATAGGTAATATTAT